GAGGTCCGTCTGTACGTGCGATAGAGTGACTATATAGTTGTGTGGCAGTATATGTGACTGACTGCCTTGAGGTCTGTCTGTGTCAGTGATAGTGTGCCTGTGTTGTATGCAGTGTAGTGACTGTGAGTGAGTGTGCAGTGCCTGTGTGTGAATGTGTATGTGTTTACTATGTCGTGTAGTGACTGTGTGTGAATGTGTCTGTGTTTAGTATGTCGTGTAGTGACTGTGGCTGAATGTGTATGTATGTTGTATGTCGTGTTGTGACTGTGTGTGAAAGCGTCAGTGTGTTGTATGCAGTGTAGTGACTGTGAGTGAGAGTGTGTGGTGCAGTGACTGTGTGTGAATGTGTCTGTATTTAGTATGTCGTGTAGTGACTGTGTGTGAATGTGTCTGTGTTTAGTATGTCGTGTAGTGACTGTGTGTGAATGTGTCTGTATGTTGTATGTCGTGTTGTGACTGTGTGTGAATATGTCTGTGTGGTGTATGTCGTGTTGTGACTGTGTGTGAATGCGTCTGTGTGTTGTATACAGTGTAGTGGATGTGTGTGAATGTATCTGTTTAGTATGTCGTGTAGGAACTGTGTGTGAATGTGTCTGTGTTTAGTATGTCGTGTAGTGACTGTGTGTGAATGTGTCTGTGTTGTATGTCGTGTAGTGACTGTGTGTGAATGCGTCTGTGTGTTGTATGCATTGTAGTGACTGTGGGTGAGAGTGTGTCGTGTAGTGACTGTGTGTGAATGTGTCTGTGTGCTGTATGTCGTGTTGTGACTGTGTGTGCATGCGTCTGTGTGTTGTATGCAGTGTAGTGGCTGTGTGTGAATGTGCCAGTTTGTTTTATGTCGTGTTGTGACTATATGTGAATATGTCTGTGTGGTATTTGTCGTGAAGTGACTGTGTGTGAGTGTGTCGGTGTGTTGTATACAGTGTAGTGACTGTGGGTGACACTTGGCGGTGCAGTGACTGTGTGAATGTGTCTGTGTTTAGTATGTCGTGTAGTGACTATGTGTGAATCTGTCTGTGTGTTGTTTGCAGTGTAGTGACTGTGTGTGAATGTATCTGTATGTTGTATGTCGTGTTGTGACTGTGTGTGAATGTGCCTGTGTGTTGTTTGCAGTGCAGTGACTGTGAGTGAATGTGTCTGTATGTTGTATGTCGTGTAGTGACTGTGTGTGAATGTGTCTGTATGCTGTATGTCGTGTTGTTACTGTGTGTGAATGCGTCTGTGTGTTGTATGCAGTGTAGTGTCTGTGTGTGAATGTGCCAGTATGTTTTATGTCGTGTTGTGACTATATGTGAATATGTCTGTGTGGTGTATGTCGTGAAGTGACTGTGTGTGAGTGTGTCGGTGTGTTGTATGTCGTGTTGTGACTGTGTGTGAATGTGCCTGTGTGTTGTTTGAAGTGTATTTACTGTGCGTGAATGAGTCTGTATGTTGTATGTCGTGTTGTGACAGTGTGTGAATGTGCCTGTGTTTAGTATGTCGTGTTGTGACAGTGTGTGAATGTATCTGTGTGTTGTATGTCGTGTAGAAACTGTGTGTGAATGTGTCTGTATGTTGTTTGTCGTGTAGTGACAGTGTGTGAATGTGTCTGTATGTCGTCTAGAAACTGTGTGTGAATGTGTCTGTATGTTGTATGTCGTGTTGTGACAGTGTGTGAATGTGTCTGTATGTCGTCTAGAAACTGTGTGTGAATGTGTCTGTATATTGTATGTCGTGTTGTGACAGTGTGTGAATGTGTCTGTATGTCGTCTAGAAACTGTGTGTGAATGTGTCTGTATGTTGTATGTCGTGGTGTGACAGTGTGTGAATGTGTCTGTATGTTGTATGTCGTGTAGAAACTGTGTGTGAATGTGTCTGTATGTTGTATGTCGTGTTGTGACAGTGTGTGAATGTGCCTGTATGTTGTATGTCGTGTTGTGACTGTGTGTGCATATGTCTGTGTGTTGTATGTCGTGTAGTGACTGTGTGAATTTGTCTGTATGGTGTATGTCGTGTTGTGACAGTGTGTGAATGTGTCTGTATGTCGTCTAGAAACTGTGTGTGAATGTGTCTGTATGTTGTATGTCGTGGTGTGACAGTGTGTGAATGTGTCTGTATGTTGTATGTCGTGTAGAAACTGTGTGTGAATGTGTCTGTATGTTGTATGTCGTGTTGTGACAGTGTGTGAATGTGCCTGTATGTTGTATGTCGTGTTGTGACTGTGTGTGCATATGTCTGTGTGTTGTATGTCGTGTAGTGACTGTGTGTGAATTTGTCTGTATGTTGTATGTCGTGTTGTGACTGTGTGTGAATATGTCTGTGTGGTGTATGTCGTGTTGTGACTGTGTGTGAATGCGTCTGTGTGTTCCATACAGTGTAGTGGATGTGTGTGAATGTGTCTGTGTTTAGTATGTCGTGTAGTAACTGTGTGTGAATATATCTGTATGCTGTATGTCGTGTTGTGACTGTGTGTGAATGTGCCTGTGTGTTGTTTGCAGTGTAGTGACTGTGTGTGAATGTGTCTGCATGTTGTATGTCGTGTAGTGACTGTGTGTGAATGTGTCTGTGTGTTGTTTGCAGTGTAGTGACTGTGGGTGAAAGTATGTCGTGTAGTGACTGTGTGTGAATGTGTCTGTGTGTTGTTTGCAGTGTAGTGACTGTGTGTGAATGTGTCTGTATGTTGTATGTCGTGTTGTGACAGTGTGTGAATGTGTCTGTATGTTGTATGTCGTGGTGTGACAGTGTGTGAATGTGTCTGTATGTTGTAGGTCGTGTAGAAACTGTGTGTGAATGTGTCTGTATGTTGTATGTCGTGTTGTGACAGTGTGTGAATGTGCCTGTATGTTGTATGTCGTGTTGTGACTGTGTGTGCATATGTCTGTGTGTTGTATGTCGAGTAGTGACTGTGTGTGAATTTGTCTGTATGTTGTATGTCGTGTTGTGACTGTGTGTGAATATGTCTGTGTGGTGTATGTCGTGTTGTGACTATGTGTGAATGCCTCTGTGTGCTGTATACAGTGTAGTGGATGTGTGTGAATGTATCTGTTTAGTATGTCGTGTAGGAACTGTGTGTGAATGTGCCTGTGTGTTGTTTGCAGTGTAGTGACTGTGTGTGAATGTGTCTTTATGTTGTATGTCGTGTAGTGATCGTGTGTGAATGTGTCTGCATGTTGTATGTCGTGTAGTGACTGTGTGTGAATGTGTCTGTGTGTTGTTTGCAGTGTAGTGACTGTGGTTGAAAGTATGTCGTGTAGTGACTGTGTGTGAATGTGTCTGTGTGTTGTTTGCAGTGTAGTGACTGTGTGTGAATGTGTCTGTATGTTGTATGTCGTGTTGTGACAGTGTGTGAATGTGTCTGTATGTTGTATGTCGTGTTGTGACAGTGTGAGGATGTGTCTGTATGTTGTATGTCCTGTAGAAACTGTGTGTGAATGTGTCTGTATGTTGTATGTCGTGTTGTGACAGTGTGTGAATGTGCCTGTATGTTGTATGTCGTGTTGTGACTGTGTGTGCATATGTCTGTGTGTTGTATGTCGTGTAGTGACTGTGTGTGAATGCGTCTGTGTGTTGTATACAGTGTAGTGGATGTGTGTGAATGTATCTATTTAGTATGTCGTGTAGGAACTGTGTGTGAATGTGTCTGTGTTTAGTATGTCGTGTAGTGACTGTGTGTGAATGTGTCTGTATGTTGTATGTCGTGTCGTGACTGTGTGTGAATGTGATTGTGGTCTATGTAGTGTAGTGACTGTGTGTGAATGTGTCTGTGTGTTGTATGCAGTGTAGTGACTGTGCTGGTGTGTTAGTGTGAAAACATGATGGTAATTTAATATGGAGCCAGGCCTGAGAACATTCTTCCCTGGATCCACAAACTGTATATGGCTGGCATGAAGAATCGGAATTATACAAGAACTGATATTTTCATTTAACAGATTTATCGCCAAGAAGTAACATAACGATTATAGTGCCGATGCAGGACACGTAAACAGATATGCGACATATGATAAAAAAGGTCCAATAGACAAATACACAAAAATAGTCATGGAGATATGGATCAAGAACTTGGTGAAAGAAGCACTAAATATATATCTTAATGAAATAGTGTACTTCCAGGCCCTTATCGTTATGTGTCAAAGACCATTAACGCGTGTCTGATTCGTATAAATGAATCTTGTCATTGGAAGATAGATTCAGACATACCTACTTAAGTGCCTGATTATATGCTTTGCGAGACTGGTAGTGCAGGACATTTTGAAATGTTCTCCACTGATACAATAACCGCCAAATAAAAACCGGGTGATAAATGTCCTGTTCTGTACAAGGGGCATAGTGTTATTCGGCGTCTAATGTAATGCATGTCGTAGGAATCCAGTCAAACAGCAACATTTCTGTAGTCAGAATATGTGATGGAGCCCCTGAAGATATGAAATGAATGGTGAACGAAATGATATAATTCATATGACCGATACGTTGGGATATGAATTATCCTGTCACCAGTAAGTCATATGATGAATACTTTGGGATAATATCTTGTCACTAGTTAGTCATATGACCTAGTCGTTGGGAAATCATCTTGTCACAAGTAAGGCATATGACTTATACTTTGGGATGTTATATTGTCACTGGTAGTGAATGAGTGAATTAAAATTCATTTAAGCCCCAAAGCGACTTGTCACAAGTTAGTCATATGACCGATGCTTTGGGATATTATCTTGTCACTAGTAAGTCATATGGAAGATACGTTGGAATGTTATCTTTTCACTAGTGTGTCCGAGACGCTTGGATAGTATCACCATTATACCAGGATAAGTCATTTAGGGAATTGTCATTAGATGTTTGCCCCATGGTGGATAAGTTATGTTATTATCCTGACATCAGTGAGGTATATGGTGGATAAGTTGTGCTTCTTGTCGACGTGCCTGATCCGTCCCCTCTACTAGGCATGGGCATGTATACCATTGCCCTCGGACAACTATTTGTGGATAACGTATGCTGTAATGATGTAAAAAGAGCTAGATGGGGGATAAGTGACACCTTTGTTTATTAGTCAATCAAACTTACAGTTTGATACGATCAGTGTATCTGCACAACCCTATATAAAGAGACACACGAATTCCACTATTCTGTAAAGGTTGCATCTAAGGACATCGCGCCCACACGTTGCCAGCAGGGTAAAGGGGATCGCGGGACAGCGAACCTGTTGGTAGCGGCCATTGACACACAAGTTGAAGAACGGCAGGATGTAGTCATAGAGGAATGTCTGGAAGCCGCGACCTTCACATGTCGCAACTGAAATAAAGAATTATATATAACAGAAATGACCATTATGACCAACATGATCGAATGACCAGGCTCGCTGACTTGGTTGATGCATGTCGTTAATCCAAGTTGCGTGGATCGATGCTCATGATATTAACCACTGGATTGTCTGGTCCAGACTCGATTTTTTACAGACCGCCGTAATATAGCTGGAATATTGCTGAGTGCGGCGTTAAACAACAAACCAACCAAAACTATTTGTCAAGATCAAAGGTTGTTTCCCACATTCAGCAAAGTGTGCAATGTTGTTATTTTTGTTGCATATATAAACAGACATCGCAGAAAAAGTACATGTAAACCGGATTCTAATCACAAGATAGACACAAGAGGCAAATGCATCAGCCAATGAATATAAAGTTGTCACCGCTGCGCCGGTACCTCTTGGCCACGCCTCCAGATAAATTTGTTTTGCAAGCCGATTACCGCGCGTGTGATTACAGCACTTTCATTTGGACATTTAAATTCTTTTCCGAACATTTTGAATTTCTCTCTCTCGGAAACTGATTAAATGTATCTAGGAAAATTGATATTCCCAATTTTTTGTTTATACTTTACTTGCCCTTTAAAACACCAGTGTACCAGCATGTCACGTTACAGATATTACCAATCATGTGTACATTTCAAAAGCGTAGAGCTTAGCCACAAAATATGAGTATATATTTACTGTATATGGTAGTCGTAATCGCCTCTGTCTTTTTTATTGTGATTTTTGTTTATGAAGAACTGATAGTAACGGTTGACAAAAATGATCATCTTCTATTTAATATCTCTGCTCATACACGATAAAAGAAAATATCAGTCATGTTATCATTGTGGGATAACATAACACCAGAGGTATGGCTATTTGCAAGGTGAATTTCCCAAGTTCCTTCCTTCTCCAAAAGTAATTGAAGTAGTCATTTAATTGATCTAGTGATTAATTTGCCGTAGTCATCTAATCGATCTAGTGATTAATTTGCCGTGACATTCTTCACGTGAAATGGGGTGAAGAGTCCATAATAATTCTTCCAAAACCTCAAGTGTGTTGTGATCACCGAATCCGTAGACAGACATTAATCTCGTATATTAATTAAACCCCGCCAGACAGCTGGTCAAGAACACGACGTCACAGTGTACCTCGCTATTCTGTTCACAATTGCGTCACACATCGTCAGAATCCAAGCTAATAATTACGTGATCATAGTTCAATAAGGACTCCAAACCAATCAGAAGGTGTATCTCCCGACTGCCCCAACCGCCAAATGCGTTCAAACTGACGTAATGAGAGTTGACTACAATTTGCTAGTTATTTATTATACACACCTCCAAACCTGAAACAGGTAGTCAGTTGAAACGCTCCTCTTATGCAAAAAACCTCCCTTCTTTCCACCAGAGCAGCGCTGCACAGGCCTGCTGGAGTGCAAGTCCGCGTCCTTCTCTGTGTCTGTGCACCATCTGGGCCGCAATAAGTACTGCATAGGCCTTCATTCGCCCAAGCACCCCATGTCCCAGCCACTGAAGTCAGGCAGTAACTCAGATAAGGTATCATTTGGGATAAATACATGCTGTATTTTCAATGTAGAACCATGCTACCTTTAGAATTCAATTGCGCTTAAATGGTTTTTTGAACCGAACTTGTGAGGTGAACCTTGCAATGACTATGTTCATTTCATGATCCTATCAGAAGTATGTTAGCGTGATTTATTACAGATGATTGACCAATCAGAACGTAAGGAAGATAATACTGTGTACACTTTGTATGAGCCTAGTCTTCCTCATATTAAAGAAGTTGAAATCCATATATTCTCTTCCTTATGTGTATCACTTCTAAATGTCTTTCAAAGACACAATCAGTTAATGTTTTGTCATTGCAAAATTAATTATCGTACCAATCAAAGTGTCAAAAGTGAAGAAAAACTATTTAGGAATTTAGACAGGTTGCACAAATTGTCGTACCACGTAATTGCTTCATTGTAATTATGCTTGCTGTTTCAGCATGCTGGTTTGCATAAACCAGCATGCTGAAACAATATCAGTGAGCTTCGTAAGATATTATACATATATCAAATAAAATCAATTTTTGTTATTCCATTTAAGGCCTCTGGTTCACATACACAGACAACACCTATAAAGGTAGAGTTTTACATGCCAGTTTTAATATAACAGCATAATCTTTTAAAGAAATAAAGCAGATACATGTATAGGATAACTATACAGAGCGATCTGGTGTTGAAGATATGCGTTTTCCAAAATTGCAGCAATATGATAGATTACGTGGTAGATATATCACAGACTCGGCTTAACATTATTGTACCTATGAAGTAAATTCAACATTTACACATATACACGCCGAGATTCTTTTCTTTATGACAATGAGATACTAACCTCCTGTACAGGGAACACCAGCAGTGCAGGTTCTTGTAGTCACCTCCACCTGAGCAAACCTACAACCAACAGGCGGAGTTGGCACCGGATTGCCGAAACTTGGGTTGCATTGTCGAGTCCGATTTTGGGTCGTTGTTCCCATACCGCAAGTAGCGCCACAGACAGACACCGGCGTGGTGATCCATGCACTCCAAGATGCTAGATTTGGATGGAAGAAACGAGAATGGTGTGTTTCTCCTCACCAAAACGGCCGGGAAATGTGACTATACGTTTTGTTGAAGACAAAACTGTAAGGCCAGTTGATGAATATCGCTAAAATGATGGCAGAATGGTGTTGATTGTTTTTTCCCGTCAGTATAGTCATTAATAGTACCAACAGCATAAATACCTACGAATTTTAATACGACCTATTTTAAGTGAATATTAGGGTTATTAATTACTAATGAGTACTTAGGCAATCGTTGTATACATTTAAGTAAAGAATAAACCGATGAAGACCATCGTTGCTGAAAGTGACGAGTGTTTCACCGCCTTGCTATTTCACCCACCAGTGTGAGTAAGTGTGCTGATTTGAACGCTGCCTTTAGAAATACTTAGGCAATATCACAGCGGGGAACACTCAAAAAGGGCTTCTTACATTGTACCTATGTAGGGAAACGGACCCGGGCCTTTGACGTGAGGCGCGAACGTCCCCATGTGATTATTTTGATAATATCTCTCTCTGTGTCTCTCTTTGTCTCTCTCTCTCTCTCTCTCTATATATATATATATATATATATGTATATATATATATGTAAATCTTTTTCTTTGTAAAAGCACATGTCTCAATATTTGGAGATTTAGCTGATGATAAAGGTGTTTTTCTCGAGTTAACATTAACGAGGATGCATGTTAGTCAATACTACAAGACGGATGCCAATCGAATGACGACTTATACCGTACATGTACGTCTCAAATGATAACTTACTCTATACATATGTTGTATCCCTAGTGCATTGGCACGACACATCTTTTAACGGTCTATATTTACATAATTATTATTCAAATTAAAACTTCTTGGGTCTTCAGCTATTAGAAAATGCCTTCACGAAAACATCTTAATTATGCCGTTTGACAAGTTTGTGGTAAAACATTTTAAGAACACCAGTTCTGTAAACATATTTCTGAATCATACGAACATTAAAAGTTCACCTTTTACGTGAAGTATGCATAACTACGGGGCTAGTAAAAACGGACTCGTAACTAGCCTCTTCTTTTCAAAATGACATGCCCAGGTGCATATCAGTATTTCATCAATCCTCAAGTGGCATCCCCTTCTTATCAATCGGTGGTCCACACGGATATTGTATTTCTGAAGTAATGTCTCTCGGATGACTTGGTGAGAATACAATGAAAGAAACTTGGAGTGCTTCTCTGAATAGTGATAGCAGTAATTGTATTCAGACCATTCGGGGATGACAAGTCACATAGCATTTTCGTCAACATATTTTCAAATTGTGGTCTGCGAATCAATACGGCAAGCAAAAACTTACAAAAAAAGGCCAGAAACGACATAATTGTGAGATATGTGTGAGAGCTGATCATTTTGTAAGGTGTATGTCTTCTTTACGTAGCCTGATAACGCATAACGTCTCTAGTATGTTTTTTATAGATCTTCTACGACTGCAAATTGAGTTTCGTTTGACACATTGACAAAAGCAGAATAACCAAGTCGCGTTATTGATTGTGACATCGTCATTATAAATGTACTTGTTCTTCCGAAAGTGTATGTAGATTGGTGGATATGCCATGTTGAGATTGATTATTATTGATCTTATCCCCCTTTTGGGAGGAAAATGTTACTATAGATTAACTTCCAGACACTGAATGGTAACAGGTAATATAAACAGGAAATCGGAAATAATTTTTTAGGAAATCCAAAGAAGCACTTTCAGCTTGAAGCAAAGGACACACGTTAGCTAAACTCTGAGTGAGTACGACGTAAGGTTAGTAATTTCCATCCCAGTTGTCAATAAGATCGATTCTCAACTTACGGCAGAATAGCTGGTCAACTCTGAAACAAATGAACATATGCTAAAGTTGACATTAATGAACCGGGAAAGTCCAGATGGCAATATCAGCGGATGAATGTTATCAGTTACCTCCCTTTAACTTTACATTGTCATTAATTTTTTGTACGTCTAAAGTAGAAAATATGTAAACAACTAAGGTATCTGATACTATAATGCCGCGATAACACAAAGGATTAGCGTGGTCATGGTATCAAGGAATATCGCTAAAAAACAAAACTCGACCGCCGTCATACAGCTTGAGTGCGGCTTCAAACAGCAAACAAGCAAACCACACAAACTTTGATTGATCACATGTTTGTGAAGATAATACCTTGTAAATTTGCCAGCTCTCGTGTTCGCTCGGGATATTACGCTATCGTAATGGAACATTTGGAGCAGTGGAGAACTGATCGATATCACACAGTTCTCACTGAGTCGCAAGATGTCGCAGAGTAACTTCGTGCCAAATGACGGCCGATGTTGGAAAAAACGTATTGTATGCTCAATCGGAAACAGGTATAGAGTAACAGTTTTTCGTTTTGATCCAAAATAAATACTTCTTTTAGAAACACGTTGGGCAACTGCAACCAAATCTTCTGACATGCGGTAGCCAGGTGAACGAAAAGTTCCAATGTGGATTCCATCCATGTGGCCCAGCTGCCCAGAGACTGAGGTGAGTTAGGAGCATGGGACAGTCAGTTCATAACACTCTGAGCGCATTAACACCTCGGGAAGTACTGACACAAGCTAGTGTCTGTCGTGAAATTAGCATTCAGGTTCAAAATGTTTCCGTTTGTTTTCTTGTTTTCAAATCAAAGTCCATTCTTAATTTCTAAAAAAAGCACATAATAACCTATGTGCAAAGGTCCGTGTTGTTACACGAACTATATATATGGCGTTACCCGGTTTATAGTGAATATGTAGTCAACATCACCACTCTATTGCTGTCCCAGGTATTACTGGTATGTCGACAGTAACCCGACAGTGGACCCGACTGGGTTTATAAACCACCATAAAGGCACCCATATTCCGTGTTTGTAAAACAACATTTACAAATGTGTTACGCATAATTATACTTGGAAGTTTCATTTGTTTAAGTATTTGCGCGTAATGAATTTAGGAAACAACAGTAAAATCTCTTAAACGCGACATCTTTGCGAACATGATATCGCATACATTTCCAGACAAGCGAAACGTCTATAGAAGAGCATACCCAGCATCTAGCAGGAGCATACAACAACATTGTATCAAAACGATATATCGCCATGATGAAGTTCAGTGGGTAAGATGAAATTGGGTTTAACATCAGATTCAAGATTAGTTCACTAAGACGGCGACGTGCATGCACGTCTCTGTGTTGCTGATTGTACATGTCCATACTCTCGCCAGTTTAATAGGGCCAGCCCACTGAGATACTATGCCGCCGTTTAACACTGTACTCCATGCAGACATATCGTACTGACTCCGAGCCAACGAATCGTTATTTGATCCCCTTAATACCGAGCAGGGTAGCAACCAGTTTTATGACGTCGTTTGGTATGACAACGGCCAGGGAAGCGAAGCAGCGACCTTCCGCCCTCCGTGCAGCCGAACTACACGTATCCACCGCACAATGGAGACGGTCTATGACAGAGTTCAGGTTAACGATGTATCATTGTACATGTGATTTTGACGACGGCGTTGTATTATACCGATGTCTTTCTGAAAATATACTCCAAAAGTAGTTATGTACCCTGTGGGTACATATTATAAAACATCAGTATTTATGAGGGTCGTGGCACTGGCGGATTCAGAAGAAAGAGGCTTTTTTCAGACTCTTCAGGTACTATGTGCACACCCCACCTACCCCTTTTAACAATCGTGGATCTGCCTCTGCGTCCTCCCTTGACAATGTTGCTGAACCAAACTCCGTCACAGTGGCTTACTCCTGTTCCAGGCTAGATCGAGCATCAACAATAACTGTGTCTACTCAACATTTATTCTGAAACCACTCATTCCTTTAAAATTTGAATGAATGTTGGATATCAGAACAAAATGTACCATCCATCTAATATCCTTAAATACAGTCGACGTTTTATGATTTCCAGTGGAAATTATTGGATTATACTGTTGTATACAACAATGCCGTAATTCTAGATGTAATAATGACAACATAAAATACGTTGGCAGTCTTTCTAACCAACTTGCTGCCAACTTCAATGTATTGAGTCGATATATTATAAGACCATTAAGTAATTATAAGGTTTGTTGCCCCTCCTTTGGGACTGCACAAAGTAAGAACAAAGCTTTCCTCGGTGTCGTTAAAAAAGCAAATGATTCCAGTAACTGTTTTTGATAGATGGGTCTACAAACAGCAAGAGCTCACAGTATCGATTAGAGAGTATAGTTCCTCATGCTGCTTGTTTCAAAGCCAAACCAGGAACAGACTCCACTAAATCAGCCAAAGACCGCGTTTTCTTGAATTTGACATTTAACATTGATGCCTAAAATTTAACATTTCGGGCAAAGTTCAGTTTCCCAAAATGTCCCACAATGTTTCAAATTTCAAGAATCCCCTAAGTTTCATTTGTTTCCTGTACGAACACTGTTTCATCGAAGTTGTACAGTTTTAGGAACGTGTTGCAGAAAGAAGACTGACAGTTCATGATGTAATCCACGACTGGATGCTGCCAAGATTCACAATTGTGCCACCAACCTGTTGGTCATATAAGCACAGGTGATTTACAATCTTCGTCATATATTCAAATATGGACCAAAATATCGCGAGCAGCCTTCTACCAATCGGGATCTCAACTTTAAAATCATTAAGGATGCTGTCGAAGCATATGTCGCAAAACGGGGCAAAAGAGAAGAGGCACCTGTTGAATGTCTTTCAGAGTGGGTTAAATCAGTGCTAGCTGTTGTGATTGGACTGAAAAAGAGGACACAACATTGGAATATACCATTTGTGTCCCAGCCAGCTGTCATCCAAAGTCCTGCCCTACGTGAAAAGTTTGTTGTTGTTCCCACTGACAAGGCCTCAAGTTTCTTATGCGTATGTAAAGGGATTTTGTCGCTTTGATTTACAGTTTCTAATCTGGAGTCTGGAAGAACAGAAAAACCTAGTTAACGTGAAACAACGGTGACTATCGAAACTCTATCTAGACAAACGGTTGCAACACATGTCTTAATCTATTGTGCCGGTACGGAGTTTGCCTGTACCTAAGAACGAGATGTACATTGTTTTTATATAATAATGGACAGCCGCCGATGACATTTACACGTGCACAGCAGGAACCACAGACATGAAGACCGTTCTGTGTGCTTGCGTCAAACAAAAGGTGATCAGTACATGAACCATTTCTGTTTCCTTCGTCGGGAGTACGTTGACACAGACGCCCTGGTTGGACATTGTGATAAACCAATCTCGGGGGGAACCAGGAACTGCCCGAGACAACTCTAGAGTTTTCATTATGGAAAGGGAAGCTAGTTTTAACGTTGACTAACAATAACTATCTAAAATCAAAATGTTTTTTTCCAGATTTTCCTTTGTTTAATTGTATTTTAATATATAATTTTAATTGCCGAAATAACATCGACTTGTTTGGTGAGGAGGGTCTCCCTTGTTGCTACACCAGTAGAATAAAGAAACGTACAATATAAAATAGCTTACTCTTCAGATTTTCTTTATTTAATTGTCTTGTATAAGATAGCAACGCGATAAATCGCAAAGCATAATGAAAAACGAAACGTGGTTTATTTCACGGTAAAACATTGCTCCACCATGACGTCATTTCTGGAGATTTGAACATGCGCTCGCAACTTGATGACGTGGAATGTTAGACGACGTTATTTCTGAGAGGGAAGTGTCTAGTGAGTTGTTCACCGTAGATGTAGCTGGGCAACGTTGATAAACGCAGTGACCGAACAATCGCATTCAAATGTGGCGTATATGACAATCGGTATAAGGAGAAAAGGTACAGATAATCGACGTGAGGATTGGGAAAATATGCGGGATATACCAGACCTAACCCACCTGTTCATGCAATGGACTTGTCCGACATTTGAGGTGGGAATCTAGTCAGGGAGTCATCATTTTTAAATTAAGGTAACTATTTTTAAAGCTTGTAATGTGATCAACATAAAGAGTGTATATAATGTTGATATCTCATATAAGAAACAAACGACTCGTGGTCGTTGTTTATCGAACAAAAAAACACCGCACAAATAAAGACCACGAGTCGTTTATTTCTTAATTTCTTAACATAGAATTACGTGCCGAATTAATGTCGATTTGTTTGTGTAATAGCCCCCCCCCCCCCCCCCCCCCCCTTGTTTTTACACGAATACAGTTAAGAACCGTACGATCTAAAATAGCTCACAACAGAACAAATGAAAATAATATACTTACACGGACACCTGTCCTGTAGATACACCTATAAAAACATGAATAAACACCACGTAAAGAACAGAAGCCATTTCTCGGTGTTTGTCGGTGTCATTGGTCCCAGCGAATGAGAGAGAAAACGAAAACCTGTATCTACTGAATGTTATCGTTTCACGTTTGATTAAATAATCTTTTCCAAGCCTTTGGCCTTTCCATACACAGCCTCTGGGTCAAGAATTGTGGTATATTCGTATATTACAATGCAAATTCCATGCCAATACGCTCGAGTTAAAGTTATGAGAAGCTTTTCTCTAGTGTTATCGATCATCTAATCAAACGATGTCGTTATTTGTTATCTGTTTCGGCAGCCGAGGATTAAATCCTGAATGAACTATCATTTTGGCGTGATCGTATTCACGCCACGTAATGTATGACATTCATTTGGATTTCTATCTCTTCCATAAAGTGTGTTCTTCAACTGTCCTTATTAGATATTTTGGAATTTGTGAAAACTGTTGTGATACATTTCATTACATGGAAATATTTAACACAAAATATTATTAGTTATGTAAATCCATCTAAACGATATATGTATTTCATACTTTTAACGAATATTCGTTTTATGAATGTTCTTGTAATGAAACGCACTTGTAATGAAACGCACTTCTCGACATACTTCTAAACAATCGACTTGTTGATTTTACTTATTTAGGCGTTTGCTTAAGTAGTTGGGGGTATTCTCAGGGGTATACGAGAAGAGACACATTTTGTATGCATGTACAAAGCTCTGTCAATTTGCATTAGGTGTGTAATATATCTTACTTGGGGCTGATCCACAAGTTTATACATGTATATATCTGAGTACATGGGAGATCGAACTATAAATAACTCGAATAAGAAATATGTCAACCCGGAAGCACCGCGTTCTTCGTCAGCGTAACTGAACCATAACTGAACTCAGTGAACCATGAAGTTCAGTACATCACCTTTGAGGTTAGGTGAGGTGAAATGAGGTTAAATGTCGCGTTCAAGATTTATTGCACTTATTTAGCGACGTGCATGCACGTGAGTGTGTGGCTGATTTGTATTAGTCCTGACTAATACCGATTTTTTTTTGTGCTAGCTCACTGAGATACTATGCCTCAGTTTAATATAAATACCCTACTCAGGCACAGTATACTGACTTCGAGCAGACTAGACCTTGTCTTAGCCCCTCAAAGCCGAGCGCCAGGCAGGGTAACAACAAGTACAATATTTCAACGTCTTTTCCACTCTCCGGGCAGGCGCTCTAGCACTAGACCACGGAGGCGGTACATCACCTTTTAATCCCCACCGATCCTTATATACAGATAGGAAAGGAATCTGGTTACATTTGACCTAATTGTGAGTGATGGATTGTTGTTTTACAGCGCAATCAGAATATTAAACATATGACGGAGGCTCTGAGTCATCCGGGCTGCGCTACCATACAAACCCATGGTTGAAAGCAAGAAGACACTATCGTCAGGTGACCAAGTGCTCTATTCGCCGATTTTGAAGCAGTTCTTATCAAGATGGGTGTGTTGCCATTGGCGGCTCCTTTCCTTGAATCAAGTGATCGGTCCTGTTAATGGCTCAAAATAAGAATGAGATCATAATAAAGTATACTTGTATTAATCCTACAACAATACAGGTAATTACACAATTTCAAATTGTCTAGGCATTATCTGCTGTGTGCTACAGGCCTTTCCATCGAATCATCTAACTTATAACAATTTCGAGACCTTACAATCATCTGACACACAACAGTTGTTACCCAGGTATTTTATTTGAAAGTCTTAATCAATTGACAGTTGTGTTTAAACTTATATGATAGCGAACACGTAGCAAAAACATTTAAATATGTGACTGTTGTACATAAATTAAGTAATACAAACCTATATCTAAAAAACTTGTGTGGATTAGATTTTCCGGCATTAGAAAAAACCCCGCACTAACCTCATTTATTTCTTTTTATCAGGACCAGAGGCCGCCTTCCAAACACCAATTACACCCTAAAGCCACAAGCTGCCGCACCAAGTAACCCACTGATTTATATGTGCCAAGAAATAATGATCTGTTTGGAGGCCATGGCGATTATACGAACGACACTTCAAAAGGTATTTTTTGATTCCATTGATACTGCCCTGCACGTGGTGCCTGGAACGGTGGGATATGTACACACGTTCGTGGTACTAACACCTTACTGCCTTTGGAATTTCTTAATGTATGGATGCTATTTCTAAGATAGCATCGCGGCGAAGCAATTGCGGTAAATTTCGATTAAATGAACTACATTCCTGAACTGTGTGTTCAGGAATGTGTACAGTGAAACACCGCTAGTCCAACAATCTTGCCTTCCGGACGATAACTTTTAAGAATCTTCAGAATCCATATATACTCCTTAATACGAGTGATGACTGATACATTCTGAAACGAAGGATGAATAGTATACCTTGAACAGTTTGCACGTATTTAGTACAATACCTCCAATGCTTACAGGCTGCATTTGTACCCAATACACAACCAGGCACCATATCTCTGCAGTCATCAAAGTTGCAAGGTATTCTCTATTGAATAAAGTGGACAAAGTTTGCTACCGCGCTGTCATCAAGTATCTTATTTTGAAAGGGCTGACTGCAACAGCCAACCAGCTTTAGGGAAATATGCTCCTTCCATTGCCACTGTTAAGAGGTTGGCAGCAAAGTTCAAGAGGGGAAAAGGGAACGTTCAAAACATTCCAAGTTCAGGAAGACCCTCACGGTGCCAGCATTTAAGAAACATGTTGATAAAATACACGCTGATATGATTATGGATGGTCGACGACTTACCACACGTGACATAACTCATACAGTGGGCTTGTCTCATTAAGTTGGGAACACTCTGAGGAATGAACTTGGCATGACAAACGCTTCAGCAGGCTGGGTCCCAAAGCTTCCGACCCCTGATCAGAAACACTCGCTCGTGAGAATTTTCGTCGGTGTGAAGCAGACCCAACGGAATTATTTGAGCGATTTGTAACCGTGGGTGAGTCAGTCAGAGATTGAACAACAGTCAAAGCAGTGGAAACGTCTAACGTCGTCTCGTCCGAAGAAAGAAAAATCTGTTCTATCAACTTGTAAGGTGTTCATCGAGGGGATACTGTGTGAAGGACGTGGCTTTACAAACATTTATTTCAATTGTGTTAACAAATAGTTCGATTTCGAAAGCTTGACACCAGTTATTGTCGTTTGCTGATTACAACCATACTTTTAAAATTGGCTGAGATATTTTGGAAAATGTTGAGTCCTATAAATACCTAGTCGTCACCCTTTGGCCCAAGGACGTAACTTTAGTCTGTGAGTTGGTTGCCAACTGCGCATTTTCGATAGTATGGTCTTATCAATTCTTTTATATGGATGTAAAGTTTGGGGGTTCGAAACTGTATCTCACACAGAACGTGTCCAGCTTCGTTTTCTGAAACATTTAACATCACGTAGGACTAGTACCCAAAATTATATGGTTTATGGCGAACTTGGATGATCTTCTGTAATATATGTAGTTAAGATTAGAATGGTTTCTTTTTGGACAAACACTTATCCGGCAAATCATCAAAATTATCTTTACAAGCTATATATAATGATAACCTATTTGAAAGACGCAAACATAAATGGATAACAAATCTTGTAAAACAAATCTTCGACGATCTTTAGTTTCATTTGGCAATCACAATGTTTTCAAATCATCTTAAAAATATGCCTTTTCGATATCATAAAATAAAAGATTCCTGCATATCTCCTGAGAACCTCTCTGTCTGTTTTTGAAGGCGTTGAGATCCCAGAGTTATAAACCTATTCATTGGGATCTCTATTAAGTAAGAGAGTTCTTTCTATAGGCATTAAAACCTATTGTGAGGTTTTACTTTCAAAGTAAAACATATTATGAGTTTTTTTTTCGTTCGGGAGGTTTTACTTTGAATGTAAAACCTCAAATTCCAGGTTTAACCAAGTAACTGAAAAAATGACAACAAGTAGCAATTCAAAATTTTAATTCAATTAAAATTGAATGTCATGTGTACAGTTCTGCGTGGACATTTAAAAGCGACATCACTTCAGAGAACTCTGGTGAAAGGACACCGAGGTTTCAAAAAACGTTCTTTTAAACAAGTGCTTATCAATGCTGCACAATTTGCACGTGCAGTAACTGATAGCCGTTACGTCACAACTACCTCTATGTAACAGTTGGATTTTTCAAAAGTCGAAAATCTTGTAAAGCAAAAAAACACCTTTAAAATGTGCGAATTTTCGTTTTGAAAAGTTTAAAAGATGTGGAATATTGCAACACAAACATTTAGAAACCGAAGATTTCACTTTCATTTAAAAGTAAGTATTTTAGTTGTGGTTTGTTTTTGACACATCCAAGTGCTCTTGAACGCCCGGTAAGTCAGCGAATTTCACGTGCAAGTTATGATATCACGTCTTCAAGGAAGCGCTATAATGAAGCGCCTCATTTATAGATGCTCGTTATAACATTTAATCAATTTAGACGGTTTATAAGTATGGAAAAACACTTTCCCTCGGTTTTGGTAGACAGAGCATGTCCTGGTGGAGCTTATCCTAGACGATCGGTGTCATGCCTACCAACTACAAACAGAAGCTTCGACAGCCTGAGCCAAGGTCGAAATTGACCGGTTTGCTCAAGCCCCATACCCCCCCTCCCTAACCATCCCCGTGGCTACAATGTCATCAACGGCATCAAAAGCATCAACGTCCAGGACAACATCATTATCAGCACCATCTGCATCCTCATCTGCATGAACAGCCTCTTCGTCAGCAGCTGAACCTCCATCTCATACAATAGCCACACCATATGTCTGGCTGGGGCCATGCACGGACAATAGGAAGCAACGTCCTGGGGCAAGATTTTATGAACCTCGTCAAACTCTTCAGTTATATTGACGAACAGCAATGTTTGTTATTTCCATTTTATCTAGATGGAACTACAAAAGTCTGGCACCAGGACCTGGCGGAAGAAACAAAAACCAGCATGGGCCTTCTGTAGGAAGCCTGTAAATCTAGATTTGACAGGCCAAAAGCATTCGACGTAAACCTCCAGATGGCTCAGTCAAAGAAAGAAAGCAGACTTCCT